TAAAATTGTCGTTCTTGAGATTCACATTTCACAAAACTCATAAAGCCAACAGTTCAATTCTCAGTGTGGGGTCCACGCGGCGTTTCTTGTTCCGGCTAGTTGACATTTAGCCGACACGATTAATTATTATTGGACAGTTAAAACGTTTAATTTATGCTGATTTAGGCTTAAACCTGATACGAATCCTTGTTTAAAACGCAAACTGATCCAAGTAAAACTTGTGTGTTAAGACCTGAGATTACTAGCCATATTCTGTATACTTCGTATAACAATTACAGTTAGAAGATATTTGATGTTACAAGATCAAGTAATTCTTCACCAAACAACAAAGGTTTATGTTTTTGAGTGAACTTGCTAAATAGCAAAATCTAGGCCTTTTAATGAGGAGAACGACAAATCGAACAATTGTCTTTAGTAATCGGATTATTAGAGGTAAGAGGAAGAAAAATTTGTCACATCTCCAAGCTAAGTGTAGTTTAGTAACCAGAACAAGGAAAAGAAGATGCCACCTTCACAAGTATATGAGAGTAGAATCAAACACTAAGAGATACTAAATCTTGACAAGTTCTTGGATTTGAATATATACCGAATCACAATAGATCAAACACAAAACAAGACATGGTTTATGAAAACAAAAACACACACTAATTAAAATTGTTGTTGATACAATACAAGAGTTTTATTTATCTATTCATAAAAGACGAGATGATTTTGATCAAATTCGTAAACGTTATTTAGCTGCATTCTTCACAAGCCTCACGAGATAATTTGATCCAGTGATGGATCATCCACGATCTTGTATATTGAGGGGTAGAATGTAGTCCACATCGCTAAACATTTCAGAACACAAACTTTTCTGAAACAAAACAAGCCCTAATTCCAAGAGTGGAGCATTATTTATAGTCTATAAGAAATTGACGGTCAAGACATGATCAGGTAAATTTCAACGGTCAAGATTGAAATTACAAACACAATTACCAATTATGGGAGTAAAAAATCTCTATAAACATAATTAAGACAACAAAAAGAGTATAAATTGTTTGAAACAAGCATAGTTTTATCAACAAATTACTAAAAATATTCGAAATCAATGTAGTCAGAATCATTGCAATTAGCGTTACTACCACCGTTAGACTTTTTAT